GCCCTGAGGTCCCCGCCTCGGTGCCTGGGCGCCAGGCGCGCGGCGGCGGCGTCTCGCACCCGCGCTGCGCGGCTCGGCGCAGATCCGACCCTGGCAAAAGCTGCGCCCTCGCCGGCGGCGACCCCGCTCGCCGGCCCCCCTTGCGCTGCTGGCCCCCTCACGTGCTGCCGCCCGCCCCTGCCGCCGCCGCAGGCTGGAGTGCTCCTGTGTGCTGTGGCATCGCGCCAGCGAGGGGCGCTTCCAGGTCGCACACTGACAGGGCCCGCCGGCCGGCCCTCCATCCGCGCGGATGCGCAGCCTGCCTCGCGCGTCGCCCCCTGGGGGGGGTGGGGTGGGAGGGGGGCCAAAAAAACCCAAAACCGCAAAGCCCTTTCAAGAGCCAGCCCCTCCCTGGGCCTCTCGCGCGAGAGAGCAGGGAGTCCCATGTGATGGCTTCTGATTGCTCTGAGCTGCCTCCTGCTGTGTACGGATGTAGAGGCTTTTTGTTGGCTGGCAGTGACGCGCATTGCACTGGTGACACACCACATCCTGTATTTCAAAACGGCGTAGCGGTACATCCCCGTCCTTATAGTGGCTTTTCATGAGACGCTCAGCTAGAGTTGTGCCTCATATTGACCCCCCTTTTTGGCTCCTCCTCGTTGCTCTGACGATGCCTGCTGCACCCCCTGTCAGCGCAAAGCTGGCGGGGAGCTTGGCCACCCTGCCCGTTTTGTGATGATCCTTTTGTGGCATGCGGTGCGGATTGGTAACTATTGATGGTGATTTCCAGGTCGTGACGGCCCTTCCCTTGGGAATCATGATGGGTGACCATGGCATGAAGCAGTATATGCTGCCCATCGCCCGACCGCTGCAGGCTTCAAACGCGGTCGTTGACAGACAATCAATCCAGGAGTTGCTGCTGCCGTGCTCACTCAATGAAATCACGCGCTGTTTGGGTCCTCGCTGGTCGCCAGCATCTATTTGATCGGGGCCGATGGTAAGGGCATGAGCACTGGTGGCTGTGTTTGTCAGGGTTGGCGGGGCGCGCCCACCTCAGCCCCGTGAACGGCCAGGAGGCGGCTGCTTTCTACACCAGAGTGCCATATCACGCGCAACCAGCTCCGGCGCGAAGCCGCCGCCGGGTGACCCGCCACCCGCCTTTCCGCCTGCCGCTTGGATCTCTAATCAGTCATGATCGCACTGCATCGGGTTGCTTGGCCACAGTCCGCGCCCGGCGCCCGTCGCGCACCAGCGCCCGTTGTTCACAACAGCCATGCACCCGCGCGACAACAAGCGGGCTGCTCAGCAACCATGCCATCCGCCCTGCAGGCGCGCGAGATAACTTGGGCTGGCCCAGTGCTGTGAGGTTGGCCCCTGTGTGGTATGGGGCCTGCTCCCGGGAAATGACGATCACATGCTGGCGGCACCTCAGATCTGTCCTCCGTAATGGCCGGCGGTGCGTCAACCGCGTTTCGCGGTCATCAGTGCGAGATGCCCAACCCCAAGCGCACCTTGGGCGCGGCACTGCTTCAAGATTACAATTCGCCATGGGGTGCACGAAAGGGGCAGCTTTTTTAGATCAGAAGGCAGAACAGCGGCCACGGCAGCGGGCACAGGTGGGTTGCCTGTTGCGCCTGCAAGCACCAGAGCTGCTCGTGCGCGCTTCAAGCTTTTTTGGGGGGGAGCGCTGCTGGAGTGTCCCGCGTCACTCTGGGCCTGCGGTGGCAGGTTTGCAGGTATGACCGGGCCTCTGCGGCCAAACAAATGCGGGGCAACAGACAGAGTCATGTATGGGGCAAAGACTCACATGCACAAATGCATGTGTGCACACACATACGCTACACACACAATTATATTTAATGTACACACAGAGATCGCTCAGAGTTGCTCGCGCGCGCAACATTGGCAGGCGTTGAACCAGGCCTAGCAAACCCGCAGGAGCCTCGGTGTGCGTCTGCCCCATCGTCTTGTTCGGCCCCCCTGACAGCACGGGCGCACACACAGGTAGTAGGGACAACGGGCATGTGTGTGTCAAGTTCCACCTAATATGCAGCTACACACATGTAGGCTGCTTGGCGCATCACCACAGATAGGACTCGATAACAATCGCAAATTCATGTACGGCGCTGCCCAGCACAACAGCGCAAGAGCGCCAGGAGCAGCACACGCACGCGGCTGACCGGAGGCATCGCTTCAGAGGGTTTTGTGTGGGGTGGATGACGCAACGTAATCAACACAGTTCTTACGCTTGCGGCGGCGCCGGGCGGGGGGCCGAGCCGGGATTTTGCAGTGCGGCAGCTTTAAGCAATGCAGTGTGGCTCTCCCGCTCTTTCGCTTTGAGGCCCTGTGTTGGGGCAGGCGCAGATTGGGTCCTCACAGCGGTCAAGCGGTCAGGGCGGTAGATGGAGCGACGGGCAACTGGGGGTTTCTCATCCACGCTGCACTTGGACGCAGCAACAGCAGGGGCGCTATCAAGAAGGCGGTGCCTGGGGGCGGGTCGCGGCAGGTTTTCGCGCTTTTATTCTTTGTGGGGAGTTCTCCATGCGCACGGATGTGTGAAGGGGGAGTACGCAGCCGGGGCCGCTTGCTCTGCATCAACCCGAGGGTTGAAGCAGAGGGCACCCTACACTAGCAGAGGGGAGGAGGGTCCTGGTCACGCGGGGCCATGAACCCATGAGGCTCAGGCGCGTGACTGGCGGCTCTCTCGCAAACGATACACTTTGGCAAAGTGCCCACAGGCGGGCGCCTATGCATTCAACATGCGCGCGCCAAAGAGGCAGACCGCGTGGCAATGGGGACTGTGTTTTCAAAAGCACTCACGATTCTCTCTTTCTTTGTATGGGGCCTTGGCTGGTTGGCAAGCGCCCACATGGGGGCCAGTCCGCCTGCTGCTTGGGCTTGGGTGGTGCAGTGCGTGTGTTGTATGGAGCAATCAGGTATTGAGTGGCCGTGGGGTATCCCCATGGGGCCAGATATCAGATTAAGCCGCAGGCAGGCGTGCAACCGCATGTAGGTGCGGGCCTGCCTGCCTGCAGCTGCCCGGCTGTCCGTCGGCGACCGACAAACGTGCAAGAGAAACACACATGGCTATGCAATGAGGGGCCAACAGGTGCATGGTCCAAGGGCTCCTTGATGCAGCAAGTGGCATCAAAGCTGGGGCAGCCCGGTCCAGCTGCGACACTAAGACCATCGACTGCACCAGCAAGAGGGCCTAGCCTGAACAGCGGCCATCATGAAATGACATCAGCAAAAAAAACATCCACCTATGAGGCGCACACGCGCGTGCATTCAGCGCTTGTGGGCTGGCTGAGACCTAGGGTTGCGCCCCGCTGTGAGGGAAAGAGGACCCAAAGAGGCTCCTGCCCGCTCCATGCGGCCCGGCTCAACTGCGTCAGCGCGGAGCCCGGGTGGGCGTGGGCGCATTGCAGCGGCCAGCGAGCCGCAGCCGGGCACGTGCACGCTTGACCAGTTATGTGGGCGTGCCGCTTGCAGGGAGGACAGATGCAGGAGAAGACCGGTAGCAAGAAGGGTTCCAAGTCGGAGAGTGAGAAGAGATGAAGGTAATAAGCGCCGGACCTCCTTGCGTTCGATCGGAGGGTGTCGCACCGTTTCCGTGTCGCGGGGAGCAAGGGGACACTATCGCTTGTGCCAGGCGGGCTATCCCGGAGGGCCGCCCTTTGCTGCAGCCTCAGGCGTTGATGCCCCGCCGGCGCACGTGTGGGGGGCCCTGTTCGCACCACCGCCAGGCGCGGGCTGGGCTGCTCGTCGGCGCCGCGTGCACCCACGCCAGGAGCTCGAAATGTGCCGCGTCGCGGTCACTTGGCGGGCGTGCCCGCCGCCTCTCCGCGGCCAGAGAAGAGACGACCCAAGAGGCCTTTGCCGCTCTGAGTGAGAGCCTTTTTAATGGTGCCCCGCTGCTCCTAAGGGGGGGGGGGCATGCCGGGGCACCGCGGCGGGGCTTTTGTTGGAGCAGCAGAGTCGATGCTGTGAGCAACGCCGGGCGCTGGTGCAACGCATGGCGTGGGGCGGCCCTCTCTCCCCGTGGCACGCCCTGTTGGTGGCTGAGCTGCCAGGCGGCTGCAGAATACCCAGGGGCAGCGCAGCTCAAAGGCCGCGGCGCGCCAGCATGCGCAGCCCGATCCAATTTTTAGTGCATGCACGTGCACATGCAGGGTGCGCACCCTTTGCTGCTCGGCCTCCACGGCAGACGCCAGCTCCCGCACGATATGGTCAAACGTTGACCGCTGGTCTGGGGCGGGCCTGCAGCACGCGGTGACGAGTGCGGACAGGCGCGGCGGGACGTGCGACGGAAGGGCGGGCCACAGCTTGCCGTCGGCGACGGCCAGTGCGATCTGCGGCGTGTTGAGGGGTGCGGTGGCGCAGGGGCGTTGGGGCAGGACCGAGGTGGGGCTGCGCTTGGGATGGGCAGGCGACGCAAAGCTGGCAGCTTTCGCCGACCGCAGACTGCGGCGGCCGTCGTGGGCCGTCTACATGCGACAGGTGGCGTGTGGCTGTCGTGTTCATGTGTGTTTGTGTGTGTGTGTGTGTGTGTGTGTGTGTGTGTGTGTGTGTGTGTGTGTGTGTGTGTGTGTGTGTGCGCGTGCGTGGCGTGCATGTGCACAAAAACTTCGACACCCCCCCACCTGCACGGGTGTCATGTAGGCCCAGGAGTAGGGGGTCTGTGTCGTTATGAGCTCTGCCAGCATGACGCCAAACGACCACACGTCAGCCCGGCCGTCATACTGCTCGTGCCTGGCGGACACGCGGGGGGGTCGGTTGTTGGTTGTCGGGTGAGCGTCAAGGGCAGGGGGCCGCCTCTGCTGATCGCATCTGAGGACGCACGCGTTTGCATGATTACGTGTGTGTGCACATGCCAGCGCGCGAGCACTCGCCGTCCCCACAAGCGCACACGCATGCGCCCATGCGCGTGCGCGAGCACACACACACACACACACACACACACACACACACACACACACACACACACACACAAAGACAAACCAAGAAACACCAGACACACACAGACATAATCACACAGTCTCTCTCTCTCTGACTGACACACACACACGCACACGCACATGCACACGCACACACAAACACACACACAGACACACACACACACACACACACACAAAGACACAAAGACACACCTCATGACCTCCGGCGCCATGTAGATGTAGGTACCGGTCTCGCCGGTCATCCCCGCCTCCCCCTCTGCCCACTCGCGGCGCGACAGACCAAAGTCCGCGAGCCGGGCGCGCCCCTCCGCGTCGATGAGCACATTGGAGGGCTTCACGTCGCGGTGGAGTATGGGGCGGGGGCCCACCTGCAGGGCAGCCAGCGCCGTCGCGACCTGCGGGCGCGGTTGGAGGGAAGGGCGGGGGTTCATGGGCGCAGTCGTAGGTCTGAGTGCTCAAGGTGCACAGGACCGAGGCGGTGGGGCTGCTGTCCTCGAGATGCGGGGTTTGGAGGGGGAGGAAGTTATCAGTCATGAGAGGACGCACAAAGCTGGCGCGCAAAAGAGGCATGCCCTGTCACCGAGCAGACATATTAAGCCCCTCGCAGCAGCGCCCGCCCAGGCAGGCATGTTTGCTGCGCCTTTCCCATATCCAGCTGCTATGGCCCCGCCCAAACACACCTCCAGGGCGATTTGCAGACGCTGGGAGAGCGGCCACCGGCCCTTGACCCAGGCGGGGGCGTTCCTGTGGCGCCGCAGGAGGTCTGCCAGGTTGCCGCCGGGCATGTACTCGGAGACGGCCCAGAAGCGCCCAGCGTCCTGCGGTGCAAAACCAGGGCAGTTGTCCACGCGCGCCGCAGTAGGCAGGGTGAGGTCAGTGTCTGAGATAGTGGCGTCGCAGGATACAGCATCGGTCACATGTGCAGATGCCCTCAATCAGAGCAGGCCAGGAACGGCTCTTGGAGCGTTGGGATCGACGCGCTGCTATCCGCTCTCATCGGCCCCAACATTGAATGGCTGACCCCGGCGCCCGCCCATGCTTGATGCACGCCAACTCACGGCGCAGACCGCGGCCCCGACGAAAGGCAGCACGCTGTCGTGGCTCCGCAGCGCCTCGTGGCACTCGAGCTCCCGGAGGAAGCTGCCCAGCTCCTGCTCATTAGTCACGCGCACGCTCTTGACAACGACGTCCGTCCCGCGCCAGCGCCCGCGGTACGCGCTCCCGAAAGTGCCCCCCGGCAGCTCAGCGCCGATCTCGACGTGGGAGGGGTCGACGAGCCAGCCCTCGGCGGCGGCGCGCGCCGCGAGCGCGGCGGCGCGCGCCGCGCCGGTGGCCGAGAGCGACCGGAGCGGGGGGCCGTGGGCGAAGGTGTGAGGTAGGGGGCCTTTGGGAGAGTTGCCGGCGCTGCTCTCCTTGGCAGTGTCGTCCTCGTTTTCTGTTTTGTTGTCGACATCTGTGCCTGCGGAGCGCAGGGGGGTGGAGTGCCAAGCGGTGTGTAGGTGACGCCGGCCGGTGACGCGGACTTCCTCGGCGGGACAACCGTCTGTTTTCAGTAGTGCATCGCAGCTTTTGTATGTCCCACTGGGCCGGCGGCTTGCATAGGCCTGGTTGGCAGCAAGCATGCAGGCAGCTCCCACCTGCGAGGGACAAGCGCTGGTCAGAGGTGGCTGCTGGGTTCAGCGGCATGGCGCCAGCTGGCCCTGCGGCTGCTGCAGCCCACACAGAGATGCCGCGTCCCATGTCCGTGTCCTTGCCCAACCCTGTGACGCATGTGCTGGTCCTGAGTAGGAGGTTTTCGAGGGCATAGCGCAGGGGCGCGGCGGGGTCGTGGGTGGGGGGCACAGGGACCAGAGGCACTTGGGACCACAGGGACGAGGCCGGCCCCAGGAACTGGCGCACATCGCCCGATGCCCATGGCGTGATCATGCTGCGGGGCCGTGCAACTACTTGTACGCCATCAGGCGCGAGCTCGTGGCTGCTATCCTTGAGCTTATTCGTTGCCAAGCTGGCTCGGAGAGCGTGGCGTTGATTGAGTTGGCCGCCTTCGAAGAAAGGGGCGTCCTCTCAGAACGCCCTTGCACACTTATAATGCACCGGAGGTTCTTTGCGCCGCCGCGAGGGCTGCCATGTGTCGCCCGTGGGCCACGGGCGAAGCATGATGAGGCCACCTGCTGCCCGCGTCACCTGAAAGCAGAGTCCTCCGCCGAGATGGTTGCCGACTTGTCATAGCGATCATTCATATCAAATGCACTGTCGTCAAGCGAGACGGGCCAGGAGGCCGGCGCGCCTGTGGCCTGGCTGGACCTCATCATCGGACTCGACCCTCCGAGGCTGCTCATGGACGGTGTGGCATAACAATTATTGTTGATGAAAGTCGCTTCCAAAGTCGACGTTCGTAGGGGGGCATTCGCATGTCGACATGTCACGGATCCGATTGGCATTCGAACCCGAATCGGCACTGACTTCTCCACGGCGCGCAACATGCGGCAAGTCACCTGAAGCATGGTATTTCATGCGTCCAACACAGAAATGCTGGCATGCGCACTTGTAGTGACGGGGGCTCTTGACTACTCGACAAACAGGAGGTGGGTTGACTAATGAGTTTGGGTTCCCCAACGCCACTATCGCGTTGGCCGATGCACCCAGAGGCAGGAGTCCCGGGTGGCCATGCACTCTTGCAGTGGTCCTGGCTGTCAACTTGGACCTAGCACCATCACCCTCTGGTGGCTTGCGCTCCGTGACAGCTGGAAGTTATCTGAGGCGCTCAGTCTGGCGGGAGCACACAGTTTGTCCCCCAAAAAAATTAAAAATTACAACATGGTGCAATCGGGCCCTGATGTTCCAGATGCGCTGACGCTTAAATAGCGCCCCCCTCCCCTGACCACGCGGCAGCTTACCATAGCCTGTGTTGTCTGCTGGAAGGGGTGGTGACCACAGGATGGTCACAAGCAAGCCAAAACGCACACTGCCGGCTTCGTAGGTACTGTACCTGACAGCTGCATCACGAGTGACTGCTGAACCTTGCCATCCCGAGTTCTCTTCCTTGCTTGCGTGCCGTCAGCGCCGGCCGTTCAAGCGTACGCCATGACCTCGACGAACGCTCCCCCACTCCAGCGCCCGCCTGGCCCGAACAAGCAACAAATGAGTGATTACATGCTGAGCGACCAGAACTCCGTGCATACGCAAGCAGACGCAAACCACGTTGGTAACAGGCCGAGCAAAATTCGCGGTCTCTGGGCAGGACAGGCTCTCTCTCTTCCTCTCGTTGGTGGTCTTTGATGCAAAACCGTGCCCGAGCGCGCCGCCTGGTGGGTGAGGCGCCACCATCCGGGATGCAGGTGGGGGTGCGCAGCCGGCGCCAACGGCTCAGCAGGTGGCACGCAGCGTGAGGGGCGCAGCGCAGGCCGCTTGGTACCCCTCCCCGCGCCATGCCATGCAGCCCGGCCACAGGCGCCCGGTCTGCGGGCAGCGAGGGCTGCGGCCCTTGGATCACGGGGCGCTGTCTGGCTTTGGCAGCCTGCGCCCCTCGACAATATACACAGTCTGGAAAAACTCGGCGGCCGCCTAAAAAGGGCCCGCCGCCCGCCCGGAGCTCCGCGGCGTCGGGCAACCCGCGCAGGTCCTCGCGGGCGGCAGTATGCACGCCACACTTGTCAGCTTTCACTCTCGCCGGCGGCGACCCCCGCTTCAAGGGTGCAGCAGGGAAGCCGCTCGGAACAGGGGCCCCGCGCGGCTGCCCGTCGTGGCACCAGGCGGCGCGGGCGGGGCACACCCTTGGCGCTTTCAGACGCGAACAGCACGTGAGATGCTGAGGGGACCTATGCACAGGGTGATTGCGCTTGGAAGTGCAGCAACGTTGCGCCAAGGGCTCGCGCACGCTGTCAGGGGGCGCCCAGCATGCAAGCCGCGCGCCAGCTGGTGTTCCCCCCGCCCCTACAGGGCGCGCGGCTCCCTGGCACCACAGGAAACGGGGCCGCCAAGGGTATCAATCCGTGGCCTGCCGCGGGGGCGGGATGGCGGGCGGCCAACAGCGCCCGCACGCCGCTCAAGGGCGCCGGGACACGGGGGTTGCCCGTCCAAAAACCAGGTGTGGCGTTGGGAGGCAACGGCGGCTGCGCATGTGTGGCAACATTGCAGCACCAGGCGCAACCAAAACAAGGTTTTGTTAAGCAGGCAGGACCCTTCATCTTGACGGTCCTTTCCACACACGCGCTCGCTCGCGGCTCCAGACGCGCTCACTAGTGTGCGACCGCCGGCGCGGCGCGCGCTGGGTGCGCGGCGCGGGCGCCGGCGCCGCTCGTGCGCTGCGCAGCGCTGCGCTCTTACGGCGCGGCCCGTCTCTAGGTTGCCCCTCTGCCAAGCGGCGAGAGGGCGCTGTGAAGGAGACCTCCGCCCCAGTGGGGGGCTGGTTGTGATTCAGCTCATGCGCAAGCATATCGATCTTCACGGCACATTTCAGACGCACGAGCGCGCAAGGACTGCGCCGTGCTGGCGCGGGCGCAGGGCCCGCGCGCAACTCCAAACCGGGATGCTGCCACAGAGGGTCACAACGAGAGGCAAGCCCGGGGCGCGTGCCCCGTACAGCCGGGTAAGGTTTGCGACCTTGGACGCCCTTGCGATCGAGCGCGTCAGGCCAGACCCAATCAAACCGGATCACGCCCAAGCAGGGGGGTCCTCGACAACCGAGACCAAAACCGTGATGTCATCTTGTTTCCCTGCAACCGCGAGTCCGGCGATTGGGTCAAACGGGGGGTGGCACTTGAGCGCCTATGTGACGGGGGGAGTCGCTGGCTGTCAGACCACGCGGCCAGAGGCCCTTTGAACAGGGAAGCGAAGCAGCCCTCAAATCGGGCAAGTATCGGGCCTGGGCTGCACCGCAGCGCCCCCCCACCACCACCACCAAAGTAAATCTGGGGCCCTCACCTCCCCTCAAGGTGGCGAGCTCCAGCTTGCCGTCCTTGAACTGGATGCCCTTGAGCTTGTCCAGCCAGGACAGGTCGTAGCTGCTCGGCAGTCACAAAACATACACAGGTTGGATGCGGATAGCGTGTGAATGAGATGTTGCGAGTGGGGCAAGACGCTGAGCGACAGAGAGCGGCAACGGCAGTCGGGCGAGCAGTGGGTGGGTGGCGAGTGGTGACGAGGGGGTGCGTCGTTTGATGGGCGTCAGGCGGAGCAGGCTGCCGCCGTGCCAGCCGCTCCTGGGTACATCCCGGGGTTGCCCCTTCCTTCAAGGTCCCCTCATCATACGCTATGTGCAGGCGGCATTCACGTCCGACAGCGCCTCAAGAGCCCCCTTTCTGTGCGGAAACGGAAAGGGAGCGCGGGCGCGGCTGAGCCGCACCCTTGCCGCTTCCGTGTATGCATCCGCCCGCGGTGGGGCCCAGCAGGCAAGACGCTCACCCCTGCTGCCGCGCCTCGCGGGTGTAGGGCGACGCGAACTCGGGGTCGCTCGCGTGCACGCGCGCCAGGGCGGCGATGGCCTCTGCCGCCGACTGCGGGGCCGGCGCAAGAAAGGACGGCGGCGGGTGAGGGGCCCCGGTCGCACGTGGCTGCACAAGCAGCTCGACGCCACGCGCAACACCCCGCCCTCGTGGCCCCAGGACCCCCGCATGGCGCCCTCTCACTGCACAACCCATACCCAAAGCCGCGCGCACCTGGGCGCCGTCGGCGCTGGTGGGCAGCTGCCCCAGGATTTCGTGTTCGTAGGCATTGTCCCACAGGCCGTCGCTGCCTGGGGGCCGTCAAGGTGCAGGGGGAGAGCAGCGATTTGCCTCAGGTATCACAGTAGCACAACGGGGGTGGGGGTGGGGGTGATGGCTCCAAGCGCCCCAAGAACTTGCCGCAGCGGGTGGAAGGGCGGCGTGCATGCCGCCGCCGCGCCGGCGCCCGCGGCCGCCGCCACCACAGCCCGTCCACCGAGAGACACGATGGGCGCCCTCCGCGTCGTGGAGCCTGCACCGCGCATCCCGTGGGCCCCGGTCTCTCACCCGCAACGATGACGTCACCGGCCTGGAGGGGCACCTCATACACCTCGGCCTGGGCAGCCGTGTCGGTGCAGTCCACGAACTCGGGGTAGGCGCCCAGCTGGGGACCAGGCGGGGTCGGTGGCATGCATGGGCGAGAGAGAGTGTTAGCAGGCATGCGCCCAGATTTTTGGACGAGCTCGGGAGCGCCCTACCAAGCGGGGAGGCACCAGCATTGCTGGTTGAAGGCTCAGAGGCAGCAATCTTGAGCATTTCAAGCCGTGCGCTCTGCGATCGGGCCACAGTGTGCAGGAGCAGCAGGGTAGGAGGCTGCCAAGCGCTGCGAGAGGCCCGCAGACCGCGCGCACTTGCAACGGGCAGTCGAAGAAATGCTGCAGCGGGCGCGACCGCGTAATGATGGCGCCGCCGCGCGCCACCAAGAAGCCACTGTCGCCCTGCAGGGGGCCAGTGGTTCGGAGGCGGGAGGGGCCGTGGGCGGTGTGAGCGCGCCACACCACAGGCAGGGGGAGCGCGCTACGGCTGCTGGCGGCCTGTTCTGAGCATACAACACCAGCCTGGCAATCCATGGTTTTGCCCTTGACCAAACACAGCCTCTCCAATGCAACCTGCTTCCCATGCCGCAACACCTCCAGCATGTGCGCGACGGCAGGCCGCAAAGCGCTCTCCCACGCCCCCAGCAGCCGGCCGCCCTCTGATGTCAGCCCCCCCCCCATCTCATGCTCCGTGCGCGCCAGAAGCGCCTCCGCGCAGCGCACCAGGTTGGCCGCGACCAGCCGGCGCTTGGCGCCGTCGAGCTGCAGCACCACCGCGGTGGCCGACCCCGCGCACCGCGTGCGCCTGTGCGCCGCGTCCAGCGCCGCGCGCGGGTCCACAAACCTCCGGGCCGTGCCGCTGACGCCGCCCGCCGCGACGACGGCCTCGCCGAACGCATATGCATACCCGGGGCCGTCCGCGGCGGCGCCCCCGAAGCCGCCCGACATGCCGAGCGAGTTGTCCGCGCCCGTCGCCGTCGCGCCGTCCGCCGCGGCGCGCGCGAGCTCCTCGCCCTCGGCACCCTCTATGTAGGCACACGCGACGCGCATCAGCGTGCGCGAGTACTGCGCGGGGTTGATGCCGCTCTCGGCCCAGCCGCCGACGCCGTCGGCGACGCCGAGCGCGCCGCCGCCGGCAGCGCTGACGAAGAACGCGTCCTCGCCGCCGTAGTGGTGCTTGTCTGGGTGTGGCAGGCAGCACGCGCCGATGCGCAGGCGCATGCCCTCCAGCTGCTGCTGTTGCTGTTGCTGCTGCGGCTGCTGTTGCTGCTCTGTTTGCTGCTGCTGCTGCTGCTGCTCCTGTGCCAGGTCCGCCGCGTTGTTGAGCTCGTCCTCCAGCGACGATGTGGTGTCCAACGATGCGACTTCAACAGTGGCTGCCAAAGGAGCTGCAGGCATCCGCATGTTGGGCGAGTGCAGGGGAAAATGAGGGCCGATGAGAGCGTGGGCCGGGCATCGAGTTCCCACGCCTAGGACAGCGGCGCTGCCCGCCGCGTGACAATGCGTCTGCTGGCAGCTGTGGGTGCCTCTGCGGCCGTCACTGGGCCTGCAGGACCTCAAACACGACCACGATGGCAGGCGAGGTCGCCCATCCTGTGCAGCAACCCGTGATCGCTCTCCCCATCTAAGCTGCCCCCGCCATCAGCGCCCGAGACCCCTTTGCTAGTCCCCAAGGCGCTTCCCCTGGTAGTCGCTTCCCAGGCGCACCTTGGTAACCAGCGCTGCTGCGTGCCACGGCACTCCAGCTTAGGGTGCCGCGAGTCGCTCCCCTCGGCAGTGCCAGCCGGGGCCCGGGGGTCCGTGGCCTCCTGATGCCCAATGTGGGGCCCGTCGCCGTCATCTGACGGGCGAGCATCATGCTTGGCCTTGCCTTGTCGGGTCGTTCACGCGAGATCGCCGGTAGACAGCGGATCAACTCCTTATCAGGCGACAAGAGCTCTGCAGCAGTCGATCGGGACTATGTTTGCGCACCAACTGGACGAAGGGAGGGTGTGCAGTGCAGAGTGACACCGGTGACGATGTGTCGCACAACAACTTCCTCCAAAACCACCTAATGCAACCCCAACCGCTGAAAGAATGATGATCCAAGAGATGCTAGAGCAACGCTGCGACACCGTTCGTGCTGGCCAGCGCTTGAGCAACACCAGCGCCTCGCTGATGTGGAGCCACCAGCATGCCAGTTCCATACCAACCCACTAAAGCCCACGCCGGTACAAGTCCGCTGCAGCAGCACTTGCATCTGCAACGGAGGCTGCGCGACCGCATAACGCTGGCGATGGGTGACGCCGTCCCCACAAAGGTACGGGTGTTGCGGGCGGTCGCATGCGCACGCAGCTGCAGATGTGATCGGTCTACCGTACACGGGCGGCCTCGCTGTCCATGCTTGTGAACATGAGCAAACCGGCATGCATGATCGCAGATCAGCAAGGACATCACCTGATGGGCATCCCCCGACAGGGCCGTCGGCATGACCGTCACAAGGCGCGAGGAGGGAGATTGGCGACTTGCTTGTAGCGGGCGAGGTTGCGGCCAGCAGACAGGCTGCTGGCCGCAATGTTGCACTACTCCCAGGTTGGCGCCGAGTGAGACACCTGAGATAGAGCTGGCTGTTGCTTCTCTGAGCGCCGGTTTCACTGTTCCCCATGATCGCAGGAGGCCGGTGGACGCGGCAGGCGGGGTTGTGCTGCTGGGGCGCATCGCCCTGCTCAGCGACAAGGGGGAAGACCTGGAGATGGGTGAGTGATGTCACATGGGTTGGATGAGAGCGCACTCGCCGTCCAAGGCGTCATAGGCGAGGTTGCGCGCCTGCACGTGCAGCAAAAATGCTGTGCTGCAAATCAGCAGCCCGCCCGTCCCCCCTTGCCTGTTGCTCCGCCTGTGCAGCTTCCGCAGGGACTTGCTTGTGCGCGAGAGCGCGCGTGTGCGCGGTGGTCGGCGTCTGCAGCTAACCCAGCGGTCACAACCTTGATGCCTGGTACCTCAAATCCGGGACTTGCCCGGAGTGGTCCACATCCCTACAAATTGTGTAGTCATTGTCCATACTGCAGCTAGTGCAAAAGTATCCTCAATCCTGCAACCGCTGCGGAAGCGGCGGGATGGGCGCTCTGAAGGAGCGCCGGGGTCCCTGGGACGAGCGCTACCGTAGCAGAGATGCCCAGGCGTGCCCTTGCATGCCATTGCCTGCGCCCGGCGTCATCACCCGCCGCCGGAGCCAGGCCAACACCACGACGGCACTGGGCAAACTACATGAATATACAAGCAACAATGGGGGTCTCAACTCCTCTAGGCCCCCTTGACACAAAAAAGCGACGCACGCTCAGATGACGGACGCTCAGGTGAAGCGAGCCCTTCCCTTGTTGAAACCGACATGCTGGCACAATGTCATACACATACGCCTAGTCGCCTGGCCACGCAATTCTTAGCTTGGTCCGCCTCTGATCACATTGGCGCCGCACGTACTACGCACGGCCTGATCGTCTTAGTCGCGCGTGTCTTAGCGTCCGCACCAGACCTCTCACAAGAAGCGTGGCGTCCTGCGACCCTCGCGTCGCTAGGGGGCACTGCACCCCGTGATGATGCTTTCCGGCCTGTGCTGAGGCGCCGGAGCTGGAAGGAGCAGCCCGGTGAGCTTGGTAATTCTACATGATGGTGATTTACACCATTCCGTGCGCTGCGGGGCTCAAAAGCAGGGACTGCAGGGCGGTGGCGCGTGTGGCTCATCTCGCGCGCAAGCCCGTTCAGCTCGTGTTCCGTTGGTTTCGGTGCCACAAATGGAAGCAGTGGACGCTTTTCGCGCGGCGCATGAGGCCGTGGGTGCGCACTGCACCAACGCGATGCGCACGCCCCTGGGCGCCGCCCTGTCGTCAACCAGGCCGCAGGATACTGCAGATATCTCGCGTCCCGGGCTCCTGACCAGCAGCTCTGCAGGCGATTGGCACGCAGGTAGGGTCCTGACGTGCTTCACGTACATGGTTGGCGGCTGGTCCTGGAGGTGTGCTCGCCATAAGGGCCCCACCAAGTGTGCGGAACTGCTGGGAGCCCCAGCGCTGTGTGCAGCTTGCTATGGGGTCGCACGCGCCTTGCGGCAGGTGAGAGGATGGCAGGCCGACACCACGCCTCCAGTGTTTATGCCCCGGCTCACTGCCTTCACTCCTCGTGTTGCAGCAGGTGCGTGGGCCTCCCCAGGAGAGGCGCGGCGCAAGGCAAGGGTAGCGCAACAATGCAAGGGGTTGTCACGCGCTGTGGCGCGCCAAGTGGAGCGGCCGCGGTGCCAGCAGCCTTGGCAGCAGCTCCCGCGGCGCTAGCAGCCAGCACACCGGCAGCGCGCGATGAGGCACAACGCCGGTCAGCCCGCGTGGCACGGCACTCGGCCCCTGTCCCAGAGGTGGGTTGATGCCTGCGGGCGCTGCCCCCCCCCCCCCGACACTGCAGCAGTGCCGCGTGATTTGGCTGTGCTTCATGGGGTGGCTTTGTTGCGCCTGCGCTTGGTGAATATGTCGATGAACCTGCTCAAACCATTGACGCCCCCTCCCATTGTGGAACTCTCCACCCTTGACAGGCGAAAGCTAGCGGCGGAGAGGCAGTGTCCAGCAACACGCGGCACGGGGCCCAAGCCAAGGCAGAGGCCTTGGCTGAGCAGCAGCAGCAGCAGCAGCAGCAGCGCCGGCGGGCGCGCAGGCAGGAGCCTTCGGAGGTGCAGACGGCGGTTCGCACATCGAGCCGCCAGCGCAACCTACAGCCTTGGCTGCAGCGCCCTGGCGCCTCCAAGCCGGCGCCCGCCGAGGCGACGCCTGCAGACCCGCCGACCCCAGTCTCGCTGGGTCGCAAGACGCCGGGACTGTCCACTTCAGAGCCTGCGGCCACGAGCGGCCAGCCGCGGCGCGAGCGGCTGCCGGACGCGCCCGTGCGCATGCGCTCGCGGGGGAGGCTGCAGCCGGCTGCGTCGCCGCACGCGGGCGCGGCCTCAAGCAACGCCGCGGGCGCAGGTGCTGGCACAGGCAGCGATAGCGATGCAGAGCCCCTGGCCATGTCCATGGGAATAATCTGGGCAGGCAGCGGTGGGCTGGCGGCGCCTGCGCCGCCAGCCGCGGTGGCGCCTTCAGGCGCGGCGGCAGATGTGCAGGGCCTTAGCAGCGGCGAGGGCAGCAGGGAGGATGGCGCGGCCGCATCGGCGGCGGTGCCGGCGGACACGCACAGGCAGCTTGCGCAGCTCCAGCTGCATGCGTCGCGCCAGCAGCGCAAGCGGCAGCAGCCCGGCGGCGAAAGCGACGAGGATTGGGAGCCGCCGCCGCCCTCGCCCACGCACCAGGTGGCGCCGCTCCTGCCAGCGCCACCGCCCGCCGCCGCCGCGGCGCACTGCGGGCGCCGCCCCGGCGGCGCGCGCGGACGCGGCAGGGCTGCGGGCGTAGCGGCGCGCACACGCTCTCCCGCCGCGGCCATGCGCCGCTGCAGCCTCCCGCAGCAGCTGGTGCGCGCGCCGTCGGTCAACCCGCTCCCGATGCCCGCGGAGCACGCCCCGACGCGCCTTCAGGCGGGCGGCAACCACCTGCCCGGGCAGTACGTCATCGCACGCGTCGGCACGTGCGGCCCCCGCGGCCGCCCCCGCTCCCTGAGCTTCACGGGCAGCGCGTTCAGCGGCGGCAGCATGAGCGGCGGCGAGGGCGGCGGCAAGCGGCAGCGGGTCGAGTGCTTGCCGCAGGTTGGCGCGGCGGGGCCGGCCAACGGCACTCTCCTCCAGGTCGCGCCGGCCGCAACGCCCCCCTGTGAGGATGACGACGGCTGCAGTGACCGGATCGCGTTCTCCGCTGCCGGCCGCTCTGCGCCGCTCGGCGCCGGCGCCACCTGCGCGCCCCTGCCCCCGTCGCTCCCGGCCGGCGCGGCCTCGCCGATGCTGCTCGGCGCGGCGCGCTGCGCGCCGCGCGTCGGGCTTGGCGGGCGGCGTTGCGCGGCCGTCGCGCTGTTTGGCGGCGGCGTGTCCGCGTCTGACGACGACGACCTCCTCTGCAGCCACCAGGATCAGCGCGCAGGACATGGGCTAGACAACGCGCTGGTTCACGTGGGCGACGACGACGCTGACGAGGACGCGTTCATGAGCGACGCAGTGCTGCTCGACGCAGCGGCTGCGCCGTCGCCCTGCTTTTTCGGCGGCGGCGGCGACGGCGGCGACGACGTCATGGTGGGCGTGTGCGTGCCCGCGGCGTGCGCGCCGTCGCAGGACTTGCAGCTGGACGTGGCGCGGCTCCTGGGCGATGATGGCTGGGGCCCGGCCTGCGGCGCCGGCACCGGCAGCGGCGCCGCGCTCGCCCGCGACGGGTCGTGCGCGGCCGGCTGCGGGGCGGCGAGCGCGGACGATGATGCGACGGGGCTGGTGGTCCCAGGCACCAGCGGCGGGGACAGCCCGTCCTGCTCGGGGGCGGAGCTGGAGCTGCTGGGCGGCTGGGAGCTGGAGGTGAACCGTTCCACCCCGGACCCCGAGCTTCTTGCCGACCTGCAGGCCGCGACGGCCTGCACCCACGGTCGCTCCCCTGCGGGCGCGGCCGCGGGCGCCTTGCGCGCCAGAGGCGGCGATGGCGGCGGCGGCGGCGGCGCGGAGAGCCCCGCGCCACTGAGCCCGGCGCAGCTTGTCACCCTCCGTGCGCTGTGCGGCGCCGGCCCCGCGGGCGGCGGCGCGCCGGATCCCTGCGCCGCGCC